GGTGTTGACCCCTGGGCTGGTGGTCCTGAGTAAGCCATGGGAGCAACCCAGTAGGCTGCACTTCTCCATGGCTTCTGCATCAGATCCTGCCTCCAGGCTCCTGCCCTGACTTCCCTGGATGTTGAACTATAAACTGTCAGATGAAATAAACCCTTTCTTCCCTATGTTGATTTTGGTCGTGGTGTTTTATCACAGCTATAGAAAAATTACTACTACAGAAATTGATACCAGGGTAGTGGGGCATTGCTGTGACAGGCATGGCCATGTTTTGTGGAGGATTGTGAAAGGACTTTGGAACTTTAGGCTGGGAAAGTCATTGAGTGTTCAGAGCTTAACGAACTGTTGTGGGATAAAACGACAAACCTGAGGGTAGTGCAGAAGATAGAGGCTTGCTTGTCAAGTTTAAGAGTCTGTTAAGGACTCTATCAGGGCCATTTGATATTTTGAATTAAGAACTATAGTTGGTGGTGGTGCACGCCTTTAATCCCAGCACTTGAGAGATAGATGCAGGTGGAGCTCTGAGTTGGAAGCCAGTCTGGTCTACAGTGTGAGCTCCAGGACAGCCAGGGCTACGCAGAGAAACCCTGTCTTGAGGAAAAAAGAAAAAAAAAAACCCAAAAAACAAAGAAAAGAACTGCTGAAGTGAATGGACCTTTGCTGGGGCTCTGCTGGGCAATCCCTACTGGCCAGATGAAGTGAATGGACCTTTGCTGGGGCTCTGCTAGGCAATCCCTACTGGCCAGATGAAGTGAATGGACCTTTGCTGGGGCTCTGCTGGGCAATCCCTACTGGCCAGATGAAGTGAATGGACCTTTGCTGGGGCTCTGCTGGGCGATCCCTACTGGCCAGATGAAGTACATGGGACCTTTGCTGGGGCTCTGCTGGGCGATCCCTACTGGCCAGATGAAGTGAATGGACCTTTGCTGGGGCTCTGCTGGGCGATACCTACTGGCCAGATGAAGTGAATGGACCTTTGCTGTGGCTTTGCTGGGCGATCCCTACTGGCCAGATGAAGTGAATGGACCTTTGTTGGGGCTCTGCTGGGCGATCCCTACTGGCCAGATGCAGCTGAAGGATCAGCTGTGAATAAGAGATAAAATCTTCAGGGAGGAGCTGGAGGTTGCATCTCATACTGGCAGCTGAACTTGGTAGCATAGGAATCACCTGTGTGGTATTGTTTCTGAAGGCAGGCTGGGGCTCTGGAGAGTGCTAAGGCCTAGAACTCTGGGGAAGGGCTGGAGTTCCTGGAGAGAGGCCCCAGATGAAGGTGCAGTCTCAGATGCATTTGGCATTTGAAGCCCCAGGATTGAAGGGGTCGTGGAGAGAAGTGAGGCTAGCACCATGTAGCAGTAGCAAGGTTAGAGTGAAGAGAGTCCAGGAGAAGTCATTGGAGAAGGGACAAGACACCAGGCAGTGCTCCTCCAGGCTCTGCTTCCTTTCCTGCCTCCAGCTTCAGGTCCTGACTACCTTCAGTGACTGAGTGTGACCTGATAGCTGCAAGCTGAGATAAACCCTTTCCTCCCCAAGCTGCTTGTGGCCACTGTGCTTATTCACAGCAGTAGACACCTAAACAGGACAAGGCGCATCATACTATTTCTATAATGGAGTCTACGATGACTGATTTAGCAAAGCCACAGGGCACACAATTTCCTCCAAACTTAGGAAGGGAAACAAGCTCATGGGCTACTTCTCATATCTCCAGTATTCAGACAAAACGGGAGATAATAGTGTAACAGATCTACTTTGATACAACCAACAGTATCAGTTTTCCAGGCACTACAACTGTGAGACTCGAAAAAGCCGCGGGGCTAAGTGTTTAGAGAGTACCTAACATATAGTTGCATAGAAAATGTCAGTTTCCTTTAATCCAACATATCCAGTGTCTCCCAGACCCATGCCAAGCTCACCTGATCTAGAGAGTGTCCATCTTTCCACCTCAGGTTGTGTTGGGTCTCTCAGAAGGTAAACAGAAGGCCATTCCTTGACTCGGAGGCACTTGATTGCAGTGGCAACATAGATGAAAAACTGAACAGGGACTCAAGGCATGATGAGATATGTTATAGAAAGTGTGTATGTTTGCAGATTACAGCAGCTCATTTGAGATTACTTTGTTCTCAAGGACTGGTGAGCTCTGTTTTTGGGGTTGATGGTTGTCAAGCTCTAAGTGTTCTACGATCAAAGCTATGGAGAGCCATATCTATTCCTACCCATGCTCAGTCTTTTAGTCAGTTTCTTCCTCCTAAGCAGACAGTTGAGTGTAGATGGAAGTTTCTGTCTTGCCTGGTGCCATTGCCATTCAGTCCCAACAAAACACAGAGACTTATATTAACTATAAACTGGTTGGTCTATTAGCTCAGGATTATTATTAACTAGCTCTTCCAACTTAAATTAACACATAATTCTTATCTATGTTTAGCCACATGGCTTGGCACCTTACTCAGTGAGGCATTCTCATCTTGTTTTCTCTCCGCCTGGCTGGTGACTGCAGACTGAATCATCTCTCTGACTCTTTCCTTCTCCCAGCATTCAGTTCTGTCTTCCCCTCCTACCTAAGTTCTGCCCTATCAATAGGCCAAGGCAGTTTCTTTATTCATTAACCAAGAAAAGCAACACACAGTGGGGACTTTCCTCTTCCCAGAATTCTCCTAGTCTGGTCACCCCATCTATACTTCCTGCCTGGCTACTGGCCAATCAGCATTTTATTAAACCAAAACAAGGGACAAATCTTTACAGGGTACAAGAGCATTATCCCACAGCAGTTTAGCTTTGAGCTCAGAAGCCAAACTGTTTGGGCTTGAATCTTGGCATTGCTGCTACTATCAGTGTGACAATTTGTTCATCTTTGTGCTTTCAGTTGTTCATCTTTAAAATGATCTTAATAATAGTACTCTGCTTCATAGATTGTTGTGAGGGTTAAATAACCCAATTTATGTAGAACTAGAACAACTGGAGTTATAATTGCTGTTAATATTAGTCTCTAAAAGAATGCAAAGTAATAAATCTAGTCTCATAGTCATTTTATTTGCTTATTTTTAAACCTTCTCCCTCAGATTGTGATCAAGCTATACATAAAAAAAAAAAATAAGGCCAGGTACCTGGGAGGCAGAGACAGGCAGTTCTCTTATGAGTTTGAGGTCAACCTAGGCTACAGAGTGAGTCCCAGGCCAGCCAAAGTACCAGTGAGTCTCCCTCTCTCCCCCTTCTCACACACACATACAAAATAAATAAATAATACAATCCCAAGAATGAATGTTGCCAGCCCCCTTTTGGAAACAATGGTTTATCACCCAAGTATGGACCTAATAAACGCATGTTAGCTGCCTTACCGCCATTGGAAAGCTTTGACGGTCTCAAGTTAGGTTTGAGATTAGTGTAAACCTGCTCTGTACCAGGAAAGTGGAGAAGAGTAAAACCTGATAAGGCAACAATGCCTGATGGATGGAGTAACTAACTGATCCTTTAAGTCAGTCAAAGTTAATGCGTGCCGAGAAAGATGAGGGTCTAGAAGCCAAACACGATTTCCCATCTATTTTAAGATTCATGCCAAGCTTCTTTAGACAGAAATCAAGCCTTTTAAGGAAGGTGAGGCGAACACACCTCGTGGGCTGCGTTAAGGGGATGCTCAGCAGGTGCTGAGTCTCACTCTGAGGGTGGCTACGGGATTGTGTGAACTCAAGTGGCAACACTGGCTCTCTCAAGAAGGAAAGATGCTATCTCCCGCCAGGGAGATAGATGACTATGGCACCACATGAAACAAGAAACCGCAACAGCCACCCTCAGCCCAGCCTAGCCCAATATATTCAGATTGGACAAGAGCCATCTTTTTCTTTTCTGGGGGCACCCTTCTAGATCTTCCTCAAGTGCCTGAAGCAGAAATGAATTGCAAGTCAAGAGGGCGGTTGCATCATTAAGAAGTGGGGCGAGCAGGTGGAGGAGAAAAATTTATACTCAAGAGAAAACCCATGTATTTCTTGGGGGAGGGGTCAGGGGAGTTAGGAATTTGGCTCGCCAATGAGGCAATCTAGGAACGGAGAAGGTCTCAGTTCCTTTCCAACTCTTTAGCATTTGACAGACGCCAATCACACAGCCCTGTACCCAGGCGGTACCAAGTAAACCCTACATCTTTTAGTGAAAGAGTCTCAAAGAGAAAGCAGTAGGTGTGTCTAAAGTTCCCGCATGAATGTGTCTGGTGAGGACCAAGTAGGTCTGGGTCCACTGAGAGCCATGGATTGGGGGTGCAACCTTAGGGTGGAGGTGGACCGTGTTCTGGTCCCTAGACACCCCCCCCACCCCCCCCGCCCCAGCATTGGGCCTCCGGCAGTTCCTTTTCCGACTCGCGGGTTTCCCAGGAGTTCTCGTCGTAGTCGGGGGAGGGAAGACACCAGCTTTGCTTCCTTCAGCACCGGGGTTCCGTTTGGCTCCCTGCTGGCACCATGTTTCCCCCACCCCCTGCCTTCAGTACCTCCGCTCCCGTGACGTCGAGAAACTCCCAAGTACAACTGGGGGCGAGGCAGTTAAGCCGCGTCCTTCAGGTGTCAATCCGGACCCGTGCGAACCACAATTCCCAGAGTGCCTCGGTCAACGAGGCCGTGTCAGATAAAATAACTCCAGAGAGTGGGACATGCAGGTGGGAAACTAGTCTCTGGTGTCTTTACCGAATATGTTTAAATACTCGAAACCTCACTTCTGCACCACTCCACTACCGTCTTCAGGCCTCGGAGACCGCGTCCGAAGGTGCGCCCCCTCCCGGGGCATTTTGGGAATTGTAGTCCAGATGCCAGGTTTCACCGAACTACCTTTCCCAGGGTGCGCAGCGGCCGGGCAATAGCAACGTTCTCTTCCAAGTGTCTCTGTTCCGAGATCCCCCTCCTCTGGTCCTTTCCTTGACATCGACTTCTTTCGGTCTGTGGCTATAGCTGGTTTCCCAGAGGCGGCCCTAAGCAGTGGCAGCGCTGCCCTGAGAGGCACTTCCGGTGGCAGGTCACTTCCGGGTGTGTGGTCGGAGCCGACGGGCGCGCGCGCGGGGGAGGGGCGGCATCAGCACGGCGCTCGGGGATCAGCTGGCGGGCGGGCGCCTAAGCGGCCCCGGCTCTGCGGCAGCGCCGCCTCCTCCGCGTCGCAGGCCGGCGGCCGTGGCCATGTCGCGGGGCTGGTAGCTGGGCTCGGCGCTGAGCCGCCTCTAGTGGGTGTTTGGGGTCCGGGGCTCGGGGTCCGGGGCGGGGGTCCGGGCTGGGGGCCGGTGCGTTTCCAGGGCTTTCCCGAAGAAAATGCACGTAGCGTTTCCTCTGGATGACGGCCTTTGCTTCCCCTAGGACCCGGCAGTTGGGCTCTGGAGTGTGTTACTGATTCATCCTCTCTGCCTCTGTCATCGCAGGTTTAAACTTAAACGATCGCTCTCCGAGGAGGAAGGGACCCGTCGCGCGATTGACAGTGTATTCCTGCAGGCGCCGTCCCTCAGCCCCCACCCCACGGCCGGATTCCCGTGGCTCTGCTCCGGGCTGAAACCCGAGAAGAAATCCTTCGATTTCTTTTCTTTACAACAAATACTAACCGAGAAACCATCGGCATTTTGCCTTGGCGTTTCCTATCGGAAAGATGAAGAAGTTTTTCGACTCCAGGCGGGAGCAGGGCAGCTCTGGCCTGGGCTCAGGCTCCAGCGGAGGAGGGGGCAGCAGCTCAGGCCTGGGCAGTGGCTACATCGGAAGGGTCTTTGGCATCGGGCGGCAGCAGGTCACTGTGGACGAAGTGCTGGCGGAAGGTACGTTGGAAACCAGTGCGCGGTGAATTAAATTCATGTGCTGATGTGGCAAGACTCTGGTTTCTAGTTGTATGAATGGGTTTTGACCAACTGACCCTCCCTTCCCCCTGCACTTTCCCTGCGAGTCATTGTCCTTGAGAGATTTCAAACTCGGACTGAGAATTGACAGGGTTTGGGGGCAGTATTGCCCAAATTGTTTACCTCAGTGGCCTTTTATTTTAGTTGAGGGGGGGGGAGCGCGGAGAAACCTCCTCCTTTGACTGAATTATGCGGATCAGATGAGAAAACGTATGTGTGAAGTATAAGTGACATCAAATGCCTGGTGGTGGGCTCTTGCCATTTCCCTGAAACTTTAAATTCTGATGTGGAGGCCGAAGGGTGGGGATGGGATGATCTTAAAAAGAGAGAGGGGTTTCTTCTACCCAACTTTCCCATTTCTCTGAGTAAGTATCCAAAGAGAATTTTTCTGGTGATGGAAATGCATTTTTTGGTTCTTCACCCACCTGAAATCAGGTGCCCAGGATGTAGCTAAGATAAAAATCCTAAGAAGTGAATGAGATTGTTTTGAACTCAGTTGCCTAGGCCTCTTTCCTCCTGTTTTAGTTTCTATTTAAGAACTACTTAAGGGTAGCTGTGGTTTAGTTTTCTTGCTGTTCAGATCCTTGTGTCGATTCTCTTGGTGTGTGTTCATTTGTGTATCTGTCCTCATGCCCCAGGCTTTAGGGAAGTCTTTTGAGTGTTCCTCTGCTAACCTTAGCCTCGACCTTCATCATTACGCCAGACTGATACTTTTCACAGCTCATTGCCTACTTAGAGTGCTTTTATTTTTAATAAAAGCAGCGATTTCCTTGGCATGAAGCAATTCAAGCTAATTGGATAGGGCCAGCCTACTGTAGGTTGTGTTACTGACTGCCAGGGGTTGGGTGTGGGGGAGGCCTCAGTGAAGGCAACATGGTGGTAGGGTATAGTTTATTAGCTGGGGAAGTGGATGAAAGCTAAGAGGTCCCTTTGCAAAGGAGGCTTTTGCAAGCTGAGCCTGAATCAAGGATCCCTACCTGGGCCTAGGAAATGCCTGTCATGATGAGTGTTGTGGGGTGGTGGACGGGCGGCTGGGGAGGGAGAAGCTGTGTTTGACTCAGTTTGTGTAAGCACTGGATTTGGTGAGGCCCAGTTTCTGAGAATAGGATTGAAGCCCGTACTTAAAGAGCCCAATTTTAAAGAGATATCTGGTAATGAATTTCCTTTTGAAATGACTGCTTTTTTTCATTCTTAGTACTGCTTCAACTGGACTTAATCTGGGCCTGAGTCACCATCCTTTCTGGACCCTTCTTTGAGGACTCTGGTGCAGGGTGGGAGATGCTTCTGTGTCTGCTGCCAGATCTGTACCTTGGAATATGAGCTGACTCTTTTATCCTGTAGCCAAAGTCCTTGACTGCAGTGGGTGGAGTGTGTGAGAGAGCAGGAGGATGACGGCCACAGAGCTCTTCCCTCCTCTCTGCTGGCCTCAGCACCCAGGAGCATTTTTTTTCCAGCTGGGGTGTTGTCTCATCATGTGTTGCCCTAAGCATTGCCTATTCTCTGAGTCTTGGAAGAGTGATGGGAAAGAGAAAACACAAAATTGGTCTTTGTTTTCTAGGCTGCCTGGAATTCATCCTGAGAGCTGTGCATTGTGCATTATGATATTTTAAAAAGTAGAACTTAGGGCTTGCAGTTGTGCATTCATTCATTCATTTGTTCAGCCAACAGTTACCAAAGTGCCGAAGATGTGGCAGGTTGTGTCCGGGACTCTGGGGACGTGATGCTAAACTAGATGCCAGAGTTTCAGAGATGTTTTAAGAAATGGGAAATGGTGATATGATTAGTGTCACTATGAAAGTAAACTAGGGTGCAATAGCTGCAGATCTTGTCCTTAGGGCTCCTTAGTGTTAGGGAGCCAAGAACTGTTTTATGGAATGAGCCAGTATGGTGACAACATGGGCTGAGGCTGTGTGTGAGAGCAGCATTTAAAATTTGGTCTGGCAAATTCTTTGTCTATGATTGAGCTTGAATTATGTGTGGCCTTTGAAGTATGTGAATATGTAGGAGTCAGTATTTATGTAGTACCTACTGAGTTCAAAGACACTACTAAGTTTTGAAGGGGGTGAAGGGTCTAAACTCTAAAGTATGATGCCTGCCTTTATTTTAATTAGCCGATAAATTTTCTTAAGGTGCTGTAGATCATGCAGGCCTTCTGTGCCCCTGAGCTACATCCCCAGCTCTGATAACTGCTTTTAGGGAGCTGCCAGTCAATGTAGGAGGAAAAGAAATACATTTGCACGTAGAGTAGTGTGTGTATGGGCACTGATTGCGTAGTCAGACAGATTTAGGTTCAATATTTGGATCTGCTTTTGTTTTTAAAAATTTTTACACAGGACAGGCTCCAAAACCACAGGGAAACCCTGTCTCGAAAAACCAAAAAAAAAAAAAAAATTTTACAGTGCATGTGTGTGTGTGTGCATATGCAACAGCATGCATGCTGCAGTCAGAGGTCAACTTTCAGGAGTTGGTTCTTTCCTTCCACTGTATGAATCCTGAGGACCAGACTTAGGTCTTCAGGCTTGGTAGCAGATGCCTTTACCCTTTGAGCCATCTCACCATTTCCTGGATCTGTTTTTTTAAAATTTATTATTATTATTATTATTATTATTATTATTATTACTGGTGTATGTGTGTGTGTCTGTGAGTGTGTGTGTGTGTGTGTGTGTGAGAGAGAGAGAGAGAGAGAGAGAGAAAGAGAAGAAGTCAGAGGGCAACATTATTATGTTAGTTCTCTCATATCAGTACCTGGGTTCAGGGGCTAGAACTCACATTGTCAGGCTTTTGTGGCAGGTGTCTTTATGGTTGAAACATTTTTGTTGGCCCTCTGAATCCTTTGTTTCCCTCCCTCCCTCCCTCCCTCCCTCCTTCCTTCCTTCCTTCCTTATCTTTCCCACTTATACAACTTAGGTCATGCTATTCCACAGGAGAGTGTATTAGAAATGAAGATCTCACACCTCACTCTGTAGACTGTAGGTATGGGACTTTAATAAGTTCCAGAGAGATGCTGATGTAAGCTAAAGTCTGAGTTCACTGCCCTGTGGTGGTATTGAGAATTTAGTGTGATAGTATATATAAAGAATTTATCACTTTGGAAGTGATAAATTCAATAAGTGGTAGCTATAGTTAAATATAAACAGTGTATTTTAAGTTAAAGGTGAGTGGAGAGCAGGGTGAAAACTAGCCTGGCTAGCCTCCCCTTTTGTGTTTGGGCTGAATCAGATGTTCTTTCCAGTATTGTTTGGGTAGCAGTGCCTCTTCCCTAGTCCTCTGAGTCCTCAAGGCTCTAACCTGTCTGCCAGTCCCAGCCTGGTTTCTCAAGGATCATGAGTTATAAGCCAGTTCCCCAAGCAGTGGCCCAGGCAGTGTACGGTGGTGACAGTGGGAGTTTTCAAACACAGACCTGATCACCACCACCACATCCTGTTCACAATTTTCTTTTCCCCTGTGTGGGTATTAGTGTGTGCTTCACAGTAAGGGACTGTTAGGACTCAAGAATCAGGTGCTAGAGAAGAGGAGAATGCTGGACTGCCATCTCCAGCAGCAGTCTTTTTAGACTGGCTCTCTAACTAGTCCTGCAGGCACTTGGTTGTCTGGAGGAAGGTGAGCCTCTCCGCCATGATTTAAAGGGATATGGGCATCTCTATGCCAAGTGATTTCTTAGTACTAGAGGGTGCCTGAATGAGGGATAAACCCTGCTGAGTTTAGACACGTGATGACAAGGGAAGATTTGGCTTAAGCTTCTAGAATGAGCTCGTTGGGAAGATTAGCGCAGTGCCTAGGAGCAATACTTTTGTCATACTTCCTGGCTGTATAAAGCCATTATCAAAACTCTAAACAGTAAGCAAATATTGAATGCTTGCTGTGCTCAAGGCAGCATTCCAGAGTTGTATCAGTTCTGTAGAAGGTAGACTAGGAGACCTCACAGAACATTCTCACCTGCACAAAAAGAATCCAGGTCTGGGCCTGGTGAGAACTCAGACTATCAGGAAGCTTCCCTAATTTCCCCTATCTGCAGAGCAAGGAAGAAAGACTTGAAAACTGTGTGCCCACCTATAGCACACAGCTCTCAATGTCTCAGTAGTACATATGTGCACTCACCCGGTGAGCCATTTATTTGTGCTTTTCTGTGGCAGGCACTGCATTAGATTCCAGAAGAAAGCTTGATGGGTCATGGACTGAGACCAGCAGATAATAAATAATCCTGGAATAAGTGTCCTGTTGTTCAGCGATGATAGGGAGAAAAAGGTGATTTGAATAGGAGTGGCAGCTACCCAGCAAGTGTACCAGCCATGTTCCCCAAAGCCTCCTAGCCAGAAGGAATGACATGCGCAAAAATGTGGAGTGGTGAAATGCAAGATGAGTCTCAGGAATACTGACCGGTGTGATGTCACTGGTACAAGTTTCCCTTCCAGGTTCAAGGAGAGGAAGTAAGGGTGTGTGTGTTTGGAGGTGGATAGAATGAGATTCTTGTATATTTGTTCCCCAGTATATATTTTGTTGTGTTTACTGCTCACTTTATTCAGTGGCTCTGTGCTCTTCAAAGAACTACTAAACAGCTACAAGTATGTACTTGCTCCTTTACTGTGCCCTAGCTCTGTGCTAAAGCACAGAAGGATGTCTCAAGTGTCATAAGAGGCAAGAAGTTAAGCAGAAGCAGGTGTGTGTGTGTGTGTGTGTGTGTGTGTGTGTGTGTGTTGCACATGTTATCAGTGTTAGAGAAGAGTGCACAGGGCAGCTAAGATGTTTGACTAGAGCAAAAGAGAAAGGGAAGAAATGGTTCATGGGGACCCTTGAGCTCCAAGCCGAGAGATTAGTCAGATGCTCCTGAGTCCCTCCCTTGATGCAGATACCACTTTGATCCTTCCTACTTCAGATGACTTTGCCTGCTGGGAAGTCTGGGTTTTTTACAGGCAATGCAGATT